TCCCAGGGCCCCTTACTGGGCCCCAGGACAGCCTCAGCGAGGCCCCAGAGGGCCCGAGATGGCTTGAAGATGGCCGAAGAGGGCCCCAAGAGGGCCTTCAAGAGGGAAAAATCTGCCCATTCCCGACGTAAAACATACATTTTCAGCATACTCCCTTGCTTCGTCTTCGCAGTGCCCCAGACGCCCTCGCGGAGCCCCAACACAGCCCAAGAGAGACCCAAGAGGGCCCAAGACGGCCCAAAAGGGTCGGCCAGTGGGGCTCATGGAACCCCCCAAGACGGCCCAAGAGGCCGCGAAGCCGGCCCAGGAGGCCCCCAAGACGGCCTCAGGGGCCTCGTTCGAAATCATGTTCCTGGAAGCCTCTCCGGGAACACGATTTCCGGGTTCCCAGGACGCCCAAGAGGCCCACAAGAAAGCCTCAGCGAGGCCCAAGAGGGCCCGAGATGGCTTAAAGATGGCCGAAGAGGGCCCAAGAGGGCCTTCAAGAGGCAAAAATCGGCCCATTCCCGACGTAAAACATACATTTTCAGCATACGCCCTTGCTTCGTCTTCGCAGTGCCCCAGACGCCCCCGAGGAGCCCCAACACAGCCCAAGAGAGACCCAAGAGGGCCCAAGACGGCCCAAAAGGGTAGTCCTGTGGGTCTGACGGACCCCCCCAAGACGGCCCAAGAGGCCCCAAAGCCAGCCCAGGAGGCCCCTAAGACAGCCTCAGGGAGGCCCAAGAGGGCCCCGTTCAAAATCATGTTCCCGGAAGCCTCTCCGGGAGCATGATTTGCGGGTTCCCAGGACGCCCAAAGACAGCCCCCAGAGGCCCGGACACGCCGAAGATGGCCTCAGGACGGCCGACGACGCCGCCAAAACGCCCCGAAACCGAAAATTATAAATTTTCCTATGGCTTTTGAAGCATTTTTGCGCTCTCCCATGTTCCACCTCCCCACGGTCCCGGACCGCGTCAGAGGCCCTTCAGATCGCTCCAAGACGGCCGAAGAGGCTCCCAAGAAAGCCCAGAGACGGCCCAGGAGGCACCCCAGATAAGTCAAGAGGGCCTCGAGAGCGCCCCAAGAGAGCCCCAAGAGCGACCCAAGAGGGCCCGAAGAGCGCGACAGTTCAAGGTCTCCGGCCTGAGAGGCTCCTAGGACGCCCCCAGAGGCCATCAAGAGGCTCCCAAGAAGCCCCGTGAGGCTCCCAAGAGGCCCCCCGGAAGCCCCAATAGGCCCCCAAGGGGCCCCGAGGGAAGCCCCCTGCGGGCCCCCAAGACACTTCGGTAAATCGTATTTCCCAGATAGCTTTCCGGGAACATGATTCTTCCGCCCACCGCCCCAACCATGTTTCCAATAGGCTTGCCGACAAGGCCAAAAGGCGCCCCTCGGTAATCCCCCAGAGGCCCCCGTCTTAAGAGAGCCGAACAAATATCATGCTCCCAGAGAGCTTCCCGGGAACATGATTCTCTATCTCGGAGTAGGCCCGGGGGGGGATGGGCGGGCCACTGCCTGTTCCCCCCATCGGTGTCCACCGGGGGTTGCGGGGCGGGGTCCAGAGCTCCCGAGGCGGCCCGAGCCCGCCCCGAAGCAGGCCACGACAGGCTAAGGGGGTCGCGAGAGGGCCCAAGACGGGTCCACGAGGCCCCAAAGATGCCCAAGATGCCCTCAAGACAGCCGAGGAGGACTCCAACACGCTCCACGACGGACTCAAGAGGCTCCCCAAGAAGGCCCTGGAAGGCAAGATTCACTCATTTTCCGAGTGTTTTGGATTTTGGCGTTCTCCCTTTTCTCGCTTTCCAGCGCTCCCTCACGGCCTTGGAGGCCCTTCAGATCGCTCCAAGAAGGCCCACGAGGCCCCGACGAGGGCCCGAAGACGGCCCAGGATGCCCCCCAGACAACCCAAGAGTGCCCCAAGAGCGCGCCAAGAGAAGGCCCAGAGGGGTCCCGAGGCGGCCCGGGCCCGCCCCGAAGCAGGCCACGACAGGCTAATGGAGAGCCTTATGAGCCCTATGAACCCTATGAGCCCTATGAGCCCTATGAGCCCTATGAACCCTATGAGCCCTACGAGCTATATGACCTTCATGAGCCTTAGGAGCCCTATGAGCCCTGCCAGCCCTCTGACCTCTGAGCCATGGGCTTCAGTGAGGCCATGGGCCCTACGCGCCTCCACGCCCAATAAGATCATCAGCCCGAAGGGCCCTCTGAACTCAAGTTCGACTGCAGGCTCTGGGAACCTCCTGATCTCCAGGAGCCGCGCTGCCCGAAGTACCCCTTCTCCACACTGCCGCCCCGAGCTTTTATACTCCGGTGGCGGCAAAGAGCCTTTCAGCCCTCTGGCCCAAAGGACCCAATGGGTCGTATCAGCCCTGTGGGCCTCATGGGCCCCATGGGCTTCATTGCCGAATGGGGCCGCGGTGCGGGCGACTACGGGTCGCGGCGAACCTCGCTGACGCCATGCGAACAAGATTTTGAAGGCGAAGCGAAGCGAGCCGGTAATACCATCTGGTATATATATATATATATATTTGTATATGTATGCTTGCCCCCCTCAGTAGCATACCTTTCGCCTTCGCTCCAATCTCCAATCTCCAATGTTCAATTTGGTCTTCCTCCTCCCCATCGCCTTTTTCTCTTCCAACCCCCCTGCACCTCCGCCTCCTCGTCCTCCTCCTCCTCCTCCTCCGCTTCCACCTCCAAAATTCCTTCCAAGGTTGCCCTCCGCCTCCATGCCCCGCGCCTCGTCCTCCTGCGCCGCCATCTCGCGCGCTCTCAGCCCGTGCATCCCTTTCTTCTCCATGTAGTCCTCCTCGGGAGCCCTTTGGTGGAGGATTTCCATAGGTATCCTGCTGTAGAAGATTTCAAACAGAACCTTTTGCGGAGGAGTTCAATAGGAACCCTTCTCTGGAGGAGTTCCACAGGAGTCTTTCTTTGGAGGGTTCCACTAAGAATCCTTATGTGGAGGATGTCTGTCGGAATCCTGCTGTAGAGAGGATTTCAATAGGAATCTTTTTGTAGAGGATTTCAAAATAAATCCTTTTGTGGAGGCTTTCAATATGAATCCTTTCCTCACTGGGGGGGAGCAGGAGGAGGAGAAGGCCGATGTGGAGGAGGAGGCGGGGGCGGAGGAGGAGGAGGGGGAGGAAGGGGAGGCCGCCACAGGATCGACGAGCGAAACGGAGGGAACAAACAGAAACGTAGGAAACAACTTGTGTTGTCAAATGGAACAACAAACAAACTCCAACCTCCAAGCGCGAAGGAGGAAAACAGAGGGACACATCTCCTCTCCTCTTTCCCACTGTGGTGGAGGGGAGCAAGAGGTACAGAGTGGCGGATGTGTAGGATGAGGCGGAGGCGGAGGCGGAGGCGGAGGAGGAGGAGGTGGAGAAGTGAACCGTTTTTTTGTTTTATTTATTTATTTATTTATTTATTTATTTATTTATTTATTTATATATATAACTATATACACCTTTATGTGTATGTATATATATATATATATATATATATATATATATATATATTTAAATAACATACTTTGTTTCTCCTCCCGCCTTTTTCTCTTCCAACTCCCCTGCACCTATGCCTCCTCCTCCGCTGCCACCTCCAACATTTCTTCCTAGGTTGCTCTCCGCCTCCATGCCCTCCGCGGCGTCCTCCTACGCCGCCTCGTCGCGCGCTCGCAACCCGTGTATCCTCTCCTTCTCCATTTAGTCGTCCACGGGAACCCTTCTGTGGAGGGCTTCATTCGGAATCCTGCTGCGGAGGATTTCACTAGGAATCCTTCTGTGGAGGAGTGGCATCGGAATCCTTCTGTGGAGTAGTTCCACATGAATCCTCATGTGAAGGATTTCCACAGGAATGAATCTTTCTTTGGAGGGTTTCAATCGGACTCCTGCTGTAGAGGATTTCATTAGGACTCCTTTCTGTGGGGGAGTTCAATAGGAATCTTCCTGTGGAGAATTTCAATCGGAATCCTTCGGTGGAGGATTTCAATCAGAATTCTTATGCGGAGGATTTCAATAGGAATCCTTTCATGGAGGGTTTCAGGAAGAGTCCATCTGTGGAGGATTTCAATAGGAATCCTTGTGGAGGGTTTCGATAGGAATCCGTATGTGGAGGATTTCAATCGGAATCCGTATATGGAGGATTTCAATAGGAATCGTTTCGTGGAGGGTTTCAGGACGAGTCCATCTGTGGAGGATTTCAATCGGAATTCTTGTGGAGGATTGCAATCGGAATCCTTGTGTGGAGGATTTCAGTAGGAATCATTTTGTAGAGGGTTTCAATATGAATTCTTTCCTCACGGGGGGGAGCAGGAGGATGAAAAGGCAGATGTGGAGGCGTAGGCGGAGGCGGAGGAGGAGGAGGAGGAGGAGGAGTAATGGGAGGCTGTCACAGGAACAACGAACGAGAAAGATGGAAACACGGAAACATTGGAACACAATGTGTTTTTTTACAGGGAACAGGAATAACAAACTTCAACCTCCAAGCGCGGAGGAGGAACAAAAAGAGGCAAACGTCTCCTCTCCTTCCCACTTGGAAGGAGGGGAGCAGGAGAAGGAGAAGGCGGATGTGAAGGAGGAGGCGGGGGCGGAGGCGGAGGAGGGAAAGACGCGAAGGCGGAGTAGGAGGAGGAGGAGGAGGAGGAGGAGGAGGAGGAGGAAGAGGAGGAAGAGGAGGAGGAGGAGGAGGAGGAGGAGGAGGAGAAGAAGGGGAGGCCGCCGCAGGAACAAAGAGCGAAACAGAGGAAACAACAGTAGGAAGCAAATGGTTTTCACATGGAAAACGAAAACACTTCAACCTCCAAGCGAGGAGGAGGAACAACAAAGAGAATTCGTCTCCACGCCTCCAGAGGCGAAGGGATGAGAGAATTGTCATATTTTTTCATCCTCTGCGCTTGGGGGTTGAAGTTGTTCTCATTTTTTCCCATGTGAAAACACAGGTTTTCTCGGATTTTCCATTTTTTCACAGTTTTTCGCTCTTCGTTCCTGCGGCAGCCTCACCTTCCTCCTTTTTCTCCGCCTCCTCCTCCACATCCGCCTCCTCCTGCTCCCCCCCCACTGGGAAACAGGAATGGAGTTTTTTCCTTTTTCCTCCTCCCCGCCCTCGGAGGCGGAGTTTTTTTTGTTCTTCCTCTTTCTCGCTCTTCGTTCCTGCGGCGGCCTCCCCTTCCTCCCTCTCCTCCGCCTCCGCCTCCGCCTCCACATCCGCCTCCTCCTCCTGCTCCCCCCCTTATGGGAAAAAGGAATGAGTTTGTTCTTCCTTTTTTCTTCCTCCCCCTCCTCGGAGGCGGAGTTGTTTTCCTATGTTTCCTTGTGAGAACACCGTGTTTTTTCCTTTTTGCTCCTTTTTGGGTCTCCACTTGGGACGGCGAGCGGAGATCTCCGCACAGTAGACGTGAGAGGAGAGAAGGCGGTGGAGGGAGCAGACGGATAAAGAGACCAAGCGAGAAGGGACACAAACGCCCACGGCGAAGAACGAACAGACGAGGGAACGACACGCAGAACGGCGAAAGGTATGATACTGGGGGGGGCTACCATAATATATATATATATGTGTATATATACATATATATATATATAGATATGATAATGCTAGTGCCGCTGAAGCGCTGGCCTCTGGTTCGGGCTGCCGCTCGTTCCGAATCGTGCTCCCGCTGCAGCGCTGGCCTCATTTCCGCGCTTCCGCTCGTTCCGAATCGTGTTCCGGCTGCAGAGCTGGCGTCATTGTTTCCAGGGCCATGCCACGACATGGTTTTTGGTCCGTAGGCACCAAAATCTAGAAAATAGCCTCCCGAAGAAACCATCGGAAGTGATTACACATTCGGTGCCGATTCGTTGATTTTATGGGCCGCAGAAGCCCTCCCCCCATTTAGGGGCGTCGCCACGCCATGCTATGTCATGCTACGCGTTGATCTTCGACACCATGCTATGCCATGTGTTGCTATGCCATGCTGCGACATCCGATTGTGCGAATAGAGAGGAGATCTACGGCATGGTATGGGATGGGAGGGAGGGGTAGGACGTCAGATATGACGCGAGCGCACCTAGCTTGTCCTCCTCCCCCTCCTCCCCCTCCTCCTCCTCCTCCTCCTCCTCCTCCTCCTCCTCCTCCTCCTGCCCTCCTCCTCCTCCTCCTCCCCCTCCTACTCCTCCACCTCCTCCGCCTCCTCCTCCTACTCCTCCTCCTCCTCCTCCTCCTCCTCCTCCTCCTCCTCCCCTCCTCCATCATCCCTCCTCCTCCATCCCTGCTCCGTCTCTTCCTCCTCCTCCTCCTCCTCCTCCTCCTCCTGCATCCCTCTCCCTGCTCCTCCTCCTCCCTGCTGCTGCTGCTGCTGCTGCTGCTGCTGCTGCTCGTCGTCGTCGTCGTCGTCGTCGTCGTCGTCGTCGTCGTCGTCGTCGTCGTCTTCTCTCTGTTGCCTCCTCCCTCCTCCCTGCTACTCCCGCCTCCCTGCTTCTGCTGCTGCTGCTGCTGCTGCTGCTCCAGCTTCTTCTTCTCGCTCCTCTTCCTCCTCCCTCTGCCTCTGCCCGCTCCACTCCGCCGCGTCGGCCCCCTTCGTTCGGATATCGTTCGGTGGTGGAAGTCCCGCGGGGGGAAGCATCCCCTCCTCCTGCCTCCTACCCCCCTGGGATCCGACATTGCGAAACAATGCAACATCGTACAAAAATCACGACCGGAACCGTAGACCCCATCTCTCTGCGGAATTCTTCGAAGTGGTTCGATTTGTGATAGCCCCAGGGCCAGAAGGCGAGCGAAAACACCAGGTGTAAAAGCATTGCGTCGCCTGGATCTGAGGGTCACCTGGTCACCCCCTTCCTCGGGCCGTGCGTGAGGAAGGAAGAAACTGTGTGTGTGGGGGGGAAGAAAATGTGTGGTGGGTGGGTGGGAGGAAGAAAATGTGGGGTGGGTGAAGGATATCTGAGGGTCACACCCCTCCTCGGGCGTTGCACAAGGGGTGTGTGAAGAAATGTGTGCCTTTCCTGCACCTCAGGGGTCCTAGAAGTGGCCCCCCTCCGGGGCCCAAATGTGCCACGAACGGTGCACCTCTCTTCACCCCCCAATTACGGACGGGGCTGGGACGGAAGGGGCGGGCCTTGTCTCGAGGTGTAGGGCCTGCGCCTTCTGAGAAGCCAGGGTGCTTCTAAGAAGCCTTCCCCCCTCCCCGTACCCCCTTGTGCGCGCCGCCAAACTAGCCAAAAAACGGTCGCTTTCGGGCGGGGCTGGGACGAGGATAAATCCGTTCCAGAGCGTTCCAGAACGCTTTCAGAGCGTTCTGGAACGCTCCAAGATGGACGCGGCGCCCGAGACATCTTCCAGATCCGCCAGATGTCAGAGATTCTCGATTTATCCTCTCCCGAATGTATCCTCGTCCTAGCTTCGTCTTACAATTCGTCGCTCCCTCAGTAACCAACGCCCGACCTCCTTTTCCTACCCCATTCGTTGTTTTCGTCGCTGTGCCCCCCCCCTCCCAAGGTACCCCTGGCGGCGCAGGCCCTGCTCTTCCTGCTGCTCGGGGGCATGGCTGCGAGCGTGGACACGAAGGTGCCCGCCCTGGTCGCTGGCTGTCGTCGTCGTCGGTGTCGGCGTCGGCGTCGGCGTCGGCGTCGTCGTCGCTCCTTCTAGATTTCCAGCGGATTGATTTCTGCAACCTTTGCCTTTTTTGATATCAATTTTGGCTTCCAGGGCCTTCTCTTGCTCCAGACCTATCAAAAACATGGATATCTGGTAATGTCTGGGACGAAGGGCTGCCCCCCGGGGAGGGTCCTGAGAGCTCCTCGAGGCCGCAGACGGGAAAAGCCGCATCGTTGGATAATCGGGCTCGCTG